TTTCCGTCTTTTCGGCGTGATTCGTGACGTCAGCAGTCTGTTCACCTGGCGTGATGAATAAGCTCTCGATTGGCTCATATATAGAAGATATAAGTTGTGAAGTGCTTTTCCATCTAATCTCGTCGGATGAACTCAACTCAGTTTTTACCACTTGGGAGGTCTTTAACGTGCTCCTTAATCGAAGTATATATTATAGGAGTGCCCTTTCATACCCCCTCTCATCTATTGTTGGTCTTGTCCATAGAAAAAAAAAAGAAAGGTTCACAATGAATGACAAGAAAACAAGTTTGAACTTCGGAGATGACGGGCTTTTCATAGCGGCCTGTTTTCGTCTCCCGGCTGCCCTGGGGTAAATGCGGGAAGGAAACGTCTCTTGTAATACACCACCGGCAGCTCTCGGCCACCATTACAATAAAAAACCTGCATATCTCTAACCCTGTACTTGAAAAAAAAAAAAGACGAGATAGGGCAGCTTGAGTGAAGGTATGGGGCAGACAGTGTCCCTTTTCGAATATGGTGGTGAAGGGTAGATGACATCCCCCACCCACCCACTTCTTGAGCGCACGTTATGCTTATACTATCAAAACATAACGTGGCTGCTACCGGAGTTGGCAGCACTTTTAAAAACAACTCGTTAGTTACAGGTTAGGCCATCCAGAGCTCGCCTTCAGTTGGTTAGGGACAGACGTAAGTAGAATACGGGTTACGGCCAATCGTGAAGTCAAAGACGGAAGATAGTAGGTTTCCCAGGCTACACGTGTAATTTGTACTGGCTACTCACAACGCGAGCGAAATGTATCTGCAGATGTTTTCTAAGCATCCGCCGCTTCCTGCATGCATCTAACCCTCAGGACAACAAACAAAACGACAGAAAGAAAAGAAACGTGGGAGCTGTGCAGTTGTGACCGCAAAAGCAACCCTACACGCCTCCGCCTGAGATGCACGCCTCGTTGGGCCTTGCGCCGGGGGGTGGGCGAATGTCCAGTCTTTCCGCTAGGAGGCGTAGCGCTGCTTCCAGACTTTACTTGCAGCTCACGGAAGCAAATTCTTGTTGAATATGCGTTGGTGTGAAACACCGTGCGGCGTGGCGCAGCTGCTGCCTTGAACACGTATTGCCTGTCGGTGCATGCGCCTCCCTCCATCCTTACAATGCTAGTCATGCAATCCTCCCAAACCCCCACTGGCGGCAACGCAGGCTGCTGCTTTCACCCAACGCCTCTGCGCTATGCAACAAAGCCACCTTCTCGTTTCAGTGGGCTACGATGAACGGCGTTCCTCGATCTCTTCGTTATTGCTCGTGTCCTCCAGTGGCTGTCGAAATCGTCGTGAAACGTGTGGGTAGCGAACTGCGAATCCCCGTAATTTCAACCTTCTCAATTTCGCAGGCGACCGCAGTAAAGTTTAGTCGAACCTTGCAAGCGGCAGATGTCCGACTCAAAGTGCGCCGGCCTATCCAACCCGATCCTGTACAGGCCACAAAGATATGGCTGTTTTTGTGCGACAAAAAAAAAGGGGGGGGGGAGGGGGGGAAGGAGAGTCGAACTTTTGACCGTTCATTCATAATATTCTGCATCAAATTTTATAGGTATAGATATTCGCAGCAAGCTAGGGACACATCGATTGCAAACAACCCTAATTCGTTCGATATGCGAGGTTTTAACGTCCCAAAACTACGATATGATTATGAGGGACGCCGTAGTGGAGGGCTCCGGAAATTTCTACCACCTGGGGTTCTTTGACATGCACACAAATCTGAGCACATGGGCCTACAATATTTTCGCCTTCATCGGAAATTCAGCCGTCGCAGCCGGGATACGATCCCGCGACCTGCGGGTCAGCAGCTGAGTACCTTAGCCACACAACCCTAATCGCAACCCACGAACTAAGAACTTGCTATCTGCCTGCGAAAGAGATACTGGTTTATCACTGATACAAGAAAAAGCTTGTGTTTTTTCGTGGAAGCTTGTGTTTTTTCGTGACCCCTTCTCTCGTTTTCTGTCGCGCAAAAACAGCCCTGTCTTTGTGGCCTGTACAGTAACATGAACCGGATAGTCCAGCAAAAAGCACTTGTATCCAACCTGAAGTGCATCGAAGTGAATTGACAGCGAATCATGTTGGATCATCTCCGTGATGGTAGAGGTGGACTACATGCAACATCGGTTGCCCTCGGAGTTATTGGTTTCTGAAAATCAATACTCATCAAATAAGCTAGAATGACGAACATGCTTGACAATCGGCAAAAAGTGCGCAAGATCATCTTGGGCACGAAGAAAATATATATGAAAAATGAAGGAAGAATGAAAGCATCAACTTTGGCTTGTTCAGCGGGTCGTGGAAGTCGCCAGGAGTCAAGGATTCCTTGTCGTCACCCAGGCCTCTTGCCTACCCCACAAAAGACTCGCAGGGCCTTTCAGTACAGTTTTTGTGTGTATGTAGAGCATCGCATGTCCCATCTGTTGCTTCTTTTTTCCATTATTAAGTTTTTCGTGTGGTTTACTGTCAGTATGAACCACGAACCATCGCACACAACCACCTTACTAAAAAAGCTGTGATGTAAAACTTTTGTGGACAATCCCGTAAATATAGGGAAGTAGGAAGGAGATGTCGATGGGCAGTCATACTACCGTGGAATAACACCACGCATTCAGTGGATGAAAAAAAAAAGTGTGTCGCACTGACAAAACGCAAGGAAAAAGCAACGCTTATTTCATTTAATTCCTTTATTTTTAAAATCATGTGACATTGTTCAAGTAATCTTCAACAAGTAATTTTCAACAACCCATCCTTGAAGAATTTCCCAGAGAGGGTACGTGTCGTAGGTTTGAAGGAAAAGCAAACAAACAAACATACATTGCTCTCGTTTACGCGCCTTCCGAATGCACGAGGAAATGAGCTATGTAAGCATTCGAGGAAATTTCAGAAACCAATTCAAGGGACAAGCTTGGTTCACCTGTACTCAAGCAGAGATTCCGTAGCACATCTAGCGAGAGTTCCATTTAGAATGTGGGACAAGGATATTGTTACTGGCGGGGTCGTGTTCACGAGTGCCTTCAACACCTCGTTCGAAAGCTCTGCCTGGATGAAGGCTTGGTAAAATAGGTTGTCAGAGACGACATGCTCAAAGAATATGGTCCCAGCATAGCAGACACATTTTGCTACACGATTCATGGATCCATCACTCATCTTTGTTTCTTTTTTTTTTTTGAATTGGCAACAAAAGGTCACGCAGCAGTCCACTCGACCTACATTTACAGCCGTGAAATAGATGCTCTGCTATCACGGAAGCTGTGATCTCGCGCCAAGAGCGAAGGTCAGCGAAGATGAATCTGGTGGTGTTGTCTCGGCCACTTTCAACCAGAAACGACCATTGAGGTATACGTATGAAAACGCGATGAAATTGAACAACAGGCGTTTTCAATGCGCGTGCGCTTACACACCAATAACGAATCTTCGTAACTTGTCGAACATGGACGACTGCTGATATTCATTATTCTCTCTCTCTTTCTATCTCTCTCTCTCTTTCATACAGCGCTCCACATTTACTGCACCGCTAAGCCCATTCATTGTGATGCGTGGCAACACACACTGGGTAACGAATCGCACACACTTACAGAAAGCCTGGCAAATGAAGCAAGGTCGTTTTGCGTTTCGACGGTGATTCATTGTCTCGTGCCGAGAGAGCGAGACGGATATCGGCAGCCGTCCGGCAACGTGGCGCGTACCAGGCCACCTCGCCTGGCGTGAGGTCTCTCTTGCCGGCGCGAACAACCATTGGTCGTCGCTAGAATCAAAGGTCGAAGTTTCATCAAGCCGAGACAAAGACGCATCGAGTTGGGAAGCCCTGAAGCAGTCAACGATTGAGCCTATCGCACTGTCAGCTCTGCTGATATGTACCTCTGCCTCGCTGCACTTTCGCTCCATAGCTCTGCACTTTTGGACACCCTCTAATCTCTTCGGGCCGTACATCCAAGCCGAGCCAAGCCGGGACCACCAAATGAAAGGAGGCGGAAGACGAAGCGGCTCTCTCGATTGCTTTTCTTTCTTGTGTGTTCATTGGCAACGCGACGACTACTTTCCTTACAGCCGTGTTCGGCTGGCGTGCAGCTGATGAATGGTGTGCGTCCGGCGTGCAACGAAACCGACAGCCGCGCCGAGGAGGCGGCAGCGAGCACCGTAAAGGTCACGGCGCTTGCATGGAACACGCGTTCGGCGCTGTTTGCGCGCGAAGCATAAGGTATGCGAGGAAGCAACGCGGCGGTCACAGAGGCGTTTCGGATGCGCTGTTGTGGCCTCTCTCATCCCGCAGCGTGCGCACAAGCATTGTTCAATGTGGGCCACCCGGTCTGTTGGCTTAAGCGCGGAATGTGTGCGTGGGTGGCGTGCGTGGCCTAATATGCGTCATTCTTTTCATTTGTTGACAAGTAATTATGCGCGAGCGAGAGAGTACATGCGCGCATGTGTGCATACTGGAGGACTCCGAGCTTGCTTTGTAGTATTGCTAATGTTCGTCGGCGCCTTTGGGTAGACGAGCAGAGAGCGTCTGTAAACATGCATGTTCTGCATTGTGCAGGTCAGGGAAGTCGCCGTTGCTCTAGTTTTCCCTGCACCTTTTCTGGTGGCGATGAACTTGGATAATTGTCGCCGTGTCTGCGTGCTCAGATTAGTGTGTTTAGTCAGCTTAGTTCTCGACAACGTGCATTCTTTATTATGACACCATGTTGATGTCTTGATGATGTCAAGATTTGACATGTGACGTCGTGATGACGCTACAGGTATACGTCATCACGTGATTTTACGCATCACTCATGCGTACGTTGACGTTCGATATTCGCTTTTGATCGGACATTCAGGGCTTTCGCCTAAATAAAGTTTATTCAGTCGAACTGCTCATACTGTTGGACACCTTTCTTAAAGCGCGCGTTCTTTTAATGCCAAGAATGCGTATTTAGGCGTCTACCAACTACAGTCTATCAGAAGGAGCCGTTCGAGCGAGTGGCGCGTCAGAACCGTTCGTGGAGATCGAGTGACATGTTCAGCGATCGCGGGCAGTGCTCCTTGGCGGCGCGCCAGTAGGGCGAGTTCCTCTCGGCCCTTCTGCGGCCGCTCATCTTGCCGTAGAGGCACATGGCGTGGCTATCCCGGCACACCTCCCACCACGAGGAGTTCGTGTCGGCGACGTCGAACAGCACGTTCCAGGCCGTCCACGGGACGGGCATCAGCGTGTGCCACGGCAGCACGAGCACGTCCCGGCACGGTCGGCCCTCGGCGGCCAGCGACGCCACGCTGTCCACACCGCAGCGCTCCAGGAGTACGTCGTGGAGCAGCGAAGAGCCGATGGACGCCTTTAGGTTCGCCGGGTGGTGCTCGCTGGCTACGTGCTCCATCGCGTCTCGCAGGAACGGGTGGCCCGCTTTGAAGAACAGGAAACTGTTGCTAACGGCGTCCCCCTTGCGCTGCGTGCGAGAGAGAGAGAGAGAGAGAGAGAGAGAGAAGTAAACGTTTATTTTGAAACAGTGCCCCGAGCAATACCTGGCGTCACCCTGAGGTGGGAGGGCTCCTTAGTCCAGGAACCATCTGGCTTCTACTGCCCTCTTGGCCCTGGCGACAAGTTGTTGTTGGTCTTACAAGTCCTCGAGGGCAAGCTTCGCCTCCCACGTTTCGGTTAGGTCTTCGTTCGTCTGTCGTGCTTCATTGTCAGTCGTGTATTGTTGCAGATCGCGTCTGGCAATACACTGGCATGCAAGAAGCAATTGTGTCAGGGTGTTCGGTACGTTGCAAAGCGGGCACATACTGCGTGCGAGAGATTAAAAAAAAAACACTTTTATTTTGCGTAAAAAACTCGGAGCTGAAAATCAGGGGAGCCTTATCGTACGGCTTTTTGCTTTTACCACTGTCAGTGCCTGACCGACGAGCCGTCGCTGTCGCTCAAGGTTACCGATGCGAATCATTGCTTGAAAAGTGGAGCGGACGTTGGGGGATTGAACTGTCAAGCCCACGTTTCGCGATATCAGCGTGCGAGTTCTCCGGAGCGTGAATATAGATGTATGTAGTTTGTGGGCACGATGTACGTTCGACCTTGGAAGAGATGGGAATGTGTATGTAGCATCAGGTGTGTGCTCCTCTTGTGCATAAGGTTCATGCAGGGGAGAATGGTTAATCGATCGAAGTATCGGACGCTGAAGGTTTGTGTGTGGAGCAATACTTCACACATAAGCTACCCCTTTCTCGCTTCTATTTATTCTGAGGTGTTGTCCGCCCCTGAACCCTCCTCGTTCAGTCAACGACGATAATTAGTATTATGCTTTACTGCCATCCCAAATGAAATGGACCGGCGACAGGAAGAGACGCAGCATGTTTGTCATAATCAGGCGCTATTGTGTCCGTTGCACCATAACGTAGTCTTCCAGGTATTTTTTTTTTCTTTCTTCGGTGCAGTCTTGAATTCAATTATTAACCGTTTACTGCGCCCGTACCGACCATGACAGCGCGAATGTCTTATGTGCTTTATTTCCATCAATGCCCTAAACATAGTACGTTTCTTATCTCAACCACTGACCAGTTGATGTTTTCATACACTTTGAATCTCAGGGGGTTCTAGCGATTAGCAACTTCTATCGGTCTTGCTATTGCCAGATTACCCTTTGGGGTGAACCTGGACAGAAATTTCATGTCCATCTTTGCAATGTTTGCACTTCCTGTAAACGCCATATATAGCGTTACAGTTTCTCTCACTATTCTTAACTGTAACATGGATATCTATGGACCCATATGAGGCCCACGTAGTGACTCAACGACCAAATTTGCCCCACACCACATCTCCCCTGATATCTAAAGCCAGGGAACCGGAGTTCGCGTCGGCGACGTCAAACAGCACGTTCTAGGCTGGGAAAAAATTACTTTAGGGGAAGGGGGCACCTTCTTAACTTTAGGAGGAGGGCACCTTGAAGCGGTCATTTTTTGTCTCGCTCTGTATGCCATGGCGAAAAAATGTTTGTTGAGGGTTGGGGGTGCTCTGGTGTTCCGTCTCCTGGCTACACCATTGTCTAAAGCGCTCATACACTCACCAGCGCCGTCTGCGAGAGGCAGGAGTGGAACGCGTGCAGTGGCCGCATTACGATAGTGTCCTTGCCGAGATAGACGCCGCCTCGCTTGTAGAGAAGCGCCAGGCGCAACACGTTCGACAAGACCTCCTTGAAACGGGCGTTGCCTTTGCGCTGGGCTCTCCAGGATTCCAGAGGCGTGCCGCGCAGAATATCGGCGACCTGTCGGGCGTATATGACGTGCATGTCTTGAAGGGACAGTTCGATCAGTCTCATTATTTAGAGAAACCATTGTTAATCGTTGTGCTATCACTTGTTTTTAGTGGCTACGAGCAACGAGTGACACTCTTGTTTTTCTTTCAAGTATATCTTGCCTAGCACTTCCAGTTTTCCGAATATACAGAAAAAAAGCCTTTTCGAAATGAAACTGGTATCATATGGTGGTTTTGGGACGTTAAACCCCACATATCAATTAATCAATGAAACTGGTAGGAAATAGATGTTTGTGGTTGAAGTTAAGAGTCATGTTGAAAATATGTCATTTTGTAGCACAGTTTTGGTTAATATAAGAGCCAAATAACTGTCACGATAATTAAATAATGTTAACTGAACAACCTCATTGTAAGAGCATGCGACTTTCCTACATGTCGATAGCTGGTATTGTCGCGGCACCTGGCGAAGAAGATTTCAACCACACACTTCTTCTTACGTGGCCTCCGATATTCGCTTCGACAGCGTGACGAAACACTCTCAAATCAAAGAGTACACCAGAGCAGAGGGAATGCCGATGTGAGATTTACAACTACCAGACAATCAAAGGAGCATTAAAGAGATACGATTCTTCTTGTGTTGGTAAATGACTCTTTCACAATACCAAAATTACCACACTTGCAGCGAGAACATGCTTTTGTAAACAAGAAAGCGTACACCCCCCATCCTCCCCCCCAAAAAAACGCGGGTGCCGACGCCATTTTTAGTTTTCTACGCCAATCACCGTGACTTCATAGATTTTGACGTTCTCTGCTTACGTAAATTCCAGTGGGTAAATAGGAAGTACATTCTTCTCACAGGGGGCCAGAGACGCAGCGGCCAAGTTCCAGAAATGTTCGTTAAGCAATTGCGGCTCAAATGCTTAATAAACATTTCGAATCGACTGACATCACATGCGAAGATTTCTGCACGAAGTTTGAAAAGAGAACGTTGACCTTGATTTCACCTTCTATTATTGATTTAGTGATGACGAAATTAACGGCTGTAGAGCTTTTGAAGTATCATTCATCAGCCGAAATCTGGTTCATTATATCACTTTAGTCTATCTTTAGGCCAAGGATTAGGAAACCCTCCAACGTTTTATTAAAAGTACAAGTGCAAGAATGGGTGCTAATTGACGCCGTAATTTTGTTGACAGAGTATCATCACGTTTAAAGCTCACGGGACGTCTTTACGCTCTCCTATAGGAGTACCAAGTACTCTAAATTGTTTACTAGTTTTTCTAAACACACTACGGGGCAATAATTGTGTGTTCGTCAGTCTGCGAGTTGCCCATGTGAAACCACTCGTGGTGAACTCGTTCGCGGCTCAATTTTTGTGAAAAGGAATTTACCAAGTGTGAGGCCCACGAGACGGCTCTTTACAGTCCCATAGTGGAGTACCTAGTACGCTAAATCGGTACCCTCCTTTTCTAAAGACTTGGGAGTTGAAAGCGCAACTCTCGATCACCGGTCCTCTGGGACCACAACTATTAAACTGTTGTGTGAACTCGTTCACGCTATAATTTTTGTCAGCAGGGCCTCATCAAATGTGAGGCTCACGGGACGGCTAACGGCTCTCGCATAGTTCAGTACGACGAGTTCAAAATCGTTAGGCACTTTTTCTAAACACATCTATATAGCAAAATTTGGCATGTTTATGGCCCGGACCAGACAGCACAAACAGGTACCCGGAGAAGTGGTTTCCCTATAGCCTTTTTGGCCTGCTGGACAGCCTGTTTTCGGTCTTGGACCTCTGAACTGAGCAGCACTATAGCCGTCATCGCTCCCGCAGGGCTTCGTGAAAACTTGTTCATAGGTTGGGTCGTTCCTGTTTAGAAAAAAGTTTATTTACACTATGTACTGAGCACAAAGATTTCACATTATTTCAGTAATAAGGGTACATATACTTTGGCACATTTATGTGCCAAGACAAACATCACTACGTTGCACTGAAGACATCATTGCCCTAATATACATGACAATGTTGGCACACATGTATGTGACGTATGAAGTGATGGTTGGTAGAAGCAGAGAAGGAAGAAGACACAGTATGGAATAAACAAGGAATATGAGCCAGGCCACGTCACCCAGTCATCGTAGCGTCACACAAATCGACAGGATGGAGACCTGCCTGCCCCTTCATCAGTCACTTATCATCGACGCAGTTCCCCAGAAGACGCCCTGACCGTACATTGACTACAGAATCATCGCCTAGGAGGACAACGACCAGCACCATGACAGAACCATCGGCTGACCTCGACATCCCCAAGTACACTGGATCAGCGGACGACGGACCCGTGCAGGACTGGTTCAACCTGTTCGAACTCCACGCTACCGCTGGATCTTGGCCGGAACGGGAGATGGTTACGAACTTCAGCGACTACGTCACCGGTGAGGCATTTAAATTTTACCTTATTCACATATTCGAGAACGACGAGTCATGGCAAAAAATCAAAGAGGAGATGATTACCCGTTTTAATGACTATGACCAAGACTTACTCATTGCCAACCATCTAGAGACAACTGCACACTATCGTCAATTTCCGAAGCAGTCTTCAAGCATTCGAAAGTCCAGTGCGAATCGAAAAGTGCCTCAAGACGAAGTGGCACATGCGTTTACTTACAGAAGGCCATGCATACATTGGGGAAAACCCAACCGTCAAGCGCGTCTCCCTTGTACACGAAAGTCGGCATTTCCGAAGTCATCGCTTCAGCATATTACACGAGACGTTGCTGAACCACCTGATGCCCTGCACTCTTCATCTCGCATACAAGGTCCACCACCTGGGTTTTCGTCACGTGGTTTTTCAAGCGCTCCTATCGCTGACCATTCGCCTCATAAGGACGCCACAACCTCGGTAGACGACCTAACGCTTCACGAAAATACCCTGTCAAGCCATGCTTTTTCCGGACATGTTCATTCATCACCGTGCGGTACACACACACTGAACAGTCGAAGCAAAGCAGACGGCTCAGACGCATCGAACGTCGCACGCTACCAGGCACAAGAACTACTCGCAGTGAACAGCGAAAAAGAAGCCCCTGAAGAGCTTCGTGTCATTTCTGCGGCACCCCAGACTTGCCAAAATCTGCAGTTCAAACCTAGTAATGCCATGTCACCTGTGGTGCCCACATGCAGAGCTCACCAATTCATGAATCAAACAAATTCAGAAAAGCATGATACATCAAACCTCGCACACAGTTGTCTTTCGGAAGCGCCCGTAATGAACCCCGTCACCGAAGCCTCTGAAGAGCATGCTAGCAATGATGACGCATTACCGACTATGCCAGACAAGCAAGACACCAGTTCACCATTCATCAGCTGTCTACAGGACGCGTCAAACACCGAAGGAAATGAATGCCCCATTCCGGAAAGGGCGCCACTACAGCCATCGCTTGAGCAGCCTCAGGAAAGCAAGCAAAGCCAAGTTCATAAACTCATGCTACAACGAGAGAGATTGCAACGAGGGCATCGACGAACGCAAAATTCAACGGAAGCGCACTCACCAATAAAAGAACATCGGAAAATGAGATCTCGAAAACAAGGACCGATTCAAGATGTCAGACACTTTCGCACAAAGAAAAGTCACCAGAGACACTCCCTGCCTCAGCTATTACACCGACTGCACCACCACAGAAAACACCGAGAAAGACGCGGAAGCACTGCTTGCGCACCGCAAGCACTCAGGCACTTCATCACAGTCTGTCGAAAAGCACGAAAACAAGAAGCACTGGGATTGCACCATTCACGACAAAAAATACAACCCCAACGACATCCGAGCTGCCGATGCAACAATGCATTCCAACCTTACTCAGTCCCCAGAACAGTTCAAGCAGTATTGTCAGTGTTCATGTGTAGCCCACTCTGTCCGGAACGCAACAGTCAAGGTCGTCCACCAGAGTCGTCATAAAAATCACCAGACTGCTCCCTCGGCCTTGAAGATTTAGTGAGATTGTGGAACTCCGTTGCGACGTGAAACTGCGAATTTGGCCATTATTTTGTTTATTTTGTTTTCAATTTGTTGTAGTTTGTAACCAGTGCCAGCTTTCGGGGGGAGGGGGAATCGTGTGACGTATGAAGTGATGGTTGGTAGAAGCAGAGAAGGAAGAAGACACAGTATGGAATAAACAAGGGGTATGAGCCAGGCCACGTCGCCAATACGTCATAGCGTCACATGTACACAAAAACTCAATGTGATATTATGATACAATGAATGGTATAACAATGCAATAGATGCCATAAATCAAACGGCAGCAGTTCGCAGCTACAGCCTCTCGTCGGTTTCGCCAAAGACTGAACAGCCCTGCAACTATTAAAAGAGCCGAAAAGCAGCCGCGCGGAAATCGGCCGTTGGACACGAATGTTCGCACACCCTGTCCCCGAAAACTGCCATGCACCGCTCGTCAAAAAAATGCGAGGGACCACACATTCAATCGTCGCATGTCGATTGGTCTGAACCATGACGCAGTTGGGGCAAGTGGAAGTGCGGACTACCTGCCATCGCTGCAACCGATCTCGCGTGGGGAGCAAGCCCAAGTTCAGCTGCCAGGTGAAGTCCCGGAGAAGCCCTGGCAGCACTGCTGCAGTTATTGGTTTCCAAGGGCGGTTCATTATAAATTGACGATGCTGGGGCACCAAGGGCCGTAGAAAGGTGGCCATTGGGTCCACCACATTAGAGTCAGCCACATCTATTTCTGAGCACGTAGCCTGACATCTATTTCTGAGCACGTAGCCTCCAAACGTTGTCCAGGTATAGGTGTGGATAGCTCCTGTGGAGGTGCACAGGATTTGGGTAGCAGTCTGTTTGTAGCTGTCGACATTCAGATGCTTGGTGCCTGTCTAGACTCGGGTGAGGTGCGGAGATGACGCGCCTTACAAAGTTTCATTTTTCGATTTCGCACCAAAAACCTGAACCAGCAGCGTGACGTCACGTGTTCCAAAGTTTCTCCGCATTTCGGGCCAACATCGGCTCCTTCATGTTTTTGAAACTTGCGATACGTTCAGTCTCCGGCTGCATCAGGAACACGTCGCGGTAGTCGTTTTTACTGCTAAAGCATACGAACCCACTTCATCGTGTCCACAAACATGACGCCGCAGGCCAGCATGGAATAATTGCGTTACAGGTTACCAGCTAAACGGTGCTGGAGAAGGAGTGATTCGCTCATTACGGGGCGCGTCGTGAGGAGTTTGCTTTGCCGGTGGTTTCAAAACTAGAAAATTAGGTTACGGCCACGGGCGAAGTCAAAAGTTGGAGAAATGTGGGTCACCGCTGCTGAACGTGCAAACCCAATTCGCTGCTTATAACAGGACTAACGAGACTAAGCTCATCGGAAGGTTTCGAAGCGAGCTTCCGTTCTCAGCGTCGTAAATAACGACGTGGCAAAGATGGTAGAAACTGCATAAAAGCGCATTCTTTTTTCAGCAAACATACGGGGGCTATGTATTCCCAGTCCTATATTTGAAGACCGAAACTCTAGATGCAAAGGGCGTAGCCGGAATTTTTTTTTCGGGGGAAAGGAAGGGGGGGGGGGGGGTCAGCCATACTTTACGTGTGTTCTTGCTTGCGTTTGTATGACTGCGTGCATGTAAACGCAAGCAACATCGAAATATTTAGGGTGTGTGTGTAGGTGCTTGAACAGCGCCCCCCCCCCCTCTCGGCTACCCCCATGCTGGATGCCCCATCACGCGCGAAAATTAACCGACAATCTGTGTCGGCGTCAACACGGTTTATACGCAAACAATATTCATATGGTTCTGGTGCCGCAAGTCACAAAAATGTGCGACGTCAATTAGAACATGATGACGTCGCTATAACGTCATCGCAACTGGCTCCACATGATGACGCCACCACATCATCGCTCGGTCAAACGGGGGCACATCTGCAAAGCCATGCGATGGGCGCCGCTCTTGGAGACAAGGCATAAAAAAAACCACATTCGGTACAGAAAGCTTTAGGAGGTGGCGATGCAGGAACAATACAATAACTGAGAAGTATGTAGATAGATAGATAGATAGAGATAGATAGATAGATAGATAGATAGATAGATAGATAGATAGATAGATAGATAGATAGATAGATAGATAGATAGATAGATAGATAGATAGATAGATAGATAGATAGATAGATAGATAGATAGACAGACAGACAGACAGACAGACAGACAGACAGACAGACAGACAGACAGACAGACAGATAGATAGATAGATAGATAGATAGATAGATAGATAGATAGATAGATAGATAGATAGACAGACAGACAGACAGACAGACAGACAGACAGACAGACAGACAGACAGACAGACAGACAGACAGACAGATAGACAGATAGATAGATAGATAGATAGATAGATAGATAGATAGATAGATAGATAGATAGATAGATAGACAGACAGACAGACAGACAGACAGACAGACAGACAGACAGACAGACAGACAGACAGACAGACAGACAGACAGATAGATAGATAGATAGATAGATAGATAGATAGATAGATAGATAGACAGACAGACAGACAGACAGACAGACAGACAGACAGACAGACAGACAGACAGACAGACAGATAGATAGATAGATAGATAGATAGATAGATAGATAGATAGATAGATAGATAGATGGACGGACGGACGGACGGACGGACGGACGGACGGACGGACGGACGGACGGACGGACGGACGGACAGACAGACAGACAGACAGACAGACAGACAGACAGACAGACAGACAGACAGACAGACAGACAGACAGACAGACAGACGGACGGACGGACGGACGGACGGACGGACGGACGGACGGACGGACGGACGGACGGACGGACGGACAGACGGACAGACGGACAGACGGACAGACGGACAGACGGACAGACGGACAGACGGATAGATAGATAGATAGATAGATAGATAGATAGATAGATAGATAGATAGATAGATAGATAGATAGAAAGCTTCATTGAGATGCTGAAGGTATCCGCCCCCGTTTTATAGGGAAAGAATCACGGGCTGCTTCCACGCATATAGGAACGGGGAGGCCTATTTCCTCGCCGCCACGTCGTGGGTCTTCTGGACAGCCTTGAGGTTTTGTTGAAAAGAAAAAAGATGGCTTTCGACTTGTCGCCTTAGGGGAATGCATAAGTTATGCTTTGGGTCGTTATTATCCCCGCTAAATCACCGTTATGTCGACTTAAAGTGTTTAACGTGTGGCTTACCTGCACGCTTCCAAAAGCCACGTTGGGGAGACCGGCCAGCATGTGCTTGAAAGGCCCGTCCAGCCACGAGTCGGTGCCGTTCGCTGCGTCCACCGCGGCGAGCACGTTCACTGCCCAACCGGGGTGATGCTTGGCCGCCGACTCGATGGCGCACGCGAAGCGACCGGTGACTTCGGGCGGGTACGCGGTCTCCAGGAACAGAAAGCGTCGTTCACGATCAGTCCTATCCACGCGTCCCCTGCCTCCTAGACAGACCGTCCCAATTTATGAAGTCTGTGAGGTGCGTACCGTAGAAGGGCGTCGCAACACATAGACGTACGCGACAATCCAGTTTTGGCGGGATGATCGTCAAAGGGGAGAAAAAAATAATTTCATCAACTTGTGCGTTTGGCACGAAGCTACAAAGGACTTCTAACGTTGTCAATGGTTCGAAGCTATAAACTACGCCTCTGCGGGACCACCATTCTATCATGCGAGCCACTGGCGTAGACGGGGTGAAGGAGAGGGGTCCAGATCATTCCCTCCTGGAAATCCTTCAATTTTATATGTGCATGTATACACGTGCGCAAACATACACTAAAATGCACAGTTATTGATTCTCCCTCCCCAAAATCAATTTCTGGCCATGCCCCTGGTGTGGGCTAATCAAAAGGGTGAAATAATAAAGCATAAGGGGGACTTATTATACCATTTTAAGGGAAAGAGATTGCATATGACAAATTAGTCTGCGGAGTTAATTCATATGGACTTCGGCGTCACTGCGGACCACTGAACGAGTACGATTTTTTCCTTTTTTTTTTTTTGCTCTTTCGTCGAGAATCGCTTGATTGAGAGGTGTCATTAGAAAAGAAAGGATCTATGACTGTTAAACGGTTACATCTTTTTTGCTACTAAGGCATCTCATTAACTCTTTTATTTAATGACGGACAGTCATGTACGCCATACGCCGGTATCTATGGAAGCATGTAATCTGTATATGTAAGTGAACTATTGGTTTATTCATGTTAAACTCAAAGAACATGGTTAAGTTTTCATAATAATATCGTAGCTTTGGAACGCGATATTTAAGCACTCATTATTTACTTCTCCTCGGTGTACATGGTGTCTCATTGAAGTTGCTGCACATTGACTTTGGAAAAAAAGTAATAGGGCTCATCACATGGCGCATTTGGGGGTATATCTGCACGTCATAAAGTCTTCGCAGAAACTTACTCTTGTAACCTTCGCCACCGATGGTGATGTAGGCGGTTACCACGACAATGACAGCTGCCGCGGTGAGTCTGCGGAAGAAGAGAAAAAAGTTAGGACGAGAAAGACTAAGGCTATGCAAAAGATAATCCGCAAAGAATGAGAGAAATGAATAATCTGTGACACAGGTGCCGTAGGTGTCACATTGCATTGTGATAAGCACTGTGATGTCTGCTACCGAAGGCTTTATTGTTATTAGAAAAATATGATAACGTCGGTGCCGCCTTCAATAATAACTACGAGCAGTACTGGACTGCTGACGCGAAGGTCGCGCCGCACCGAAATGTCGACCACAGCGGCCCCGCTTAGGTGGAGGCGATATTCTCGAGACCAGTGTACTTGACTAGATGGTCCAGATTTTCGAAGCCCTTCTTTACGGCGTCCCTTCGACTCATATCGTATTTCTGGGACGTATACAAAACTCAAACGATTATCATTAATAACGTAGAGCTCCAATAATCGTCACACAGAAGCTCGCTCGACCTCTCCCGTTATTTAAGGTTGGAATTACCTTGATAGCCTTTTATTCCCATGGAAATGAATGCGTCTCTCATGATCATATGGTGGTATAGAGACGTTGAACCCATACAATTTTTATATTGCAGGAAATGGAATGAAACCCTTTAAAAAGCTATGAAGCTTATATTTCGCGCATGGCATAAAAACGGAGTGTTAGTAATCACGAAATTCACGATCATAGACCCGCATCTCTTCTTCACCGCCATAGCAACATAGTGAAAATCAGATGATACGAAAGTCACGGAATAAACTTACAGTGCCAAAAACAGGGACAGGTGGAAAAAATAGTGGACACCACGAACGCTGTGAAGTTACTAAAATAAATATTAAGGAAGCAGAAAAGGTAAAGCGCATTTTTTTTTTTTTTGACGCACATGACCGCAATCTTGCGCAGATGGCTCAAAAAAGCCGCGAAAGACACGAACGAAGTGACTCGGGTATAATACTAGGTTTCTGCAAAGTCTTATAATTCAATATCTAACCGATTGATGAGAAGTTAATTGGCTAACACACGCCTCACCATTCTTTTTGTGCTTTCTATAGGTGCTTCTCGAGGTATACTTGCTTTAATCATAGGCTGGGACAGCTTGCCACTCCCGAGTACATCGTACTCTAAATCGTGAAGCGTTCGTTCTAAACAAAGTCTGCCTTAGCTTATTTTTTTCGCGCGTTTTTTCGGGTGCGCTGATCTTTCTTTGTATATTGTAATACAAATTCGACCTGGCTTCCGAACTCCTAATGCGAACGTAGCCTCGCACCAAGGCACAGCGTCCGCACATTTCTAAGCCGAAGCTGTGTCTAGAATAATTTTTGAGCGCTTTACAGTAACGTACGCACTATATACTGGAGGGGAGCCGCAAGCTGGCCCGCTTATACGCGTGACGCAAAAGGAACAAATACATGTGTTTAGAAAACGTGTTTAACGATTCAGAGTACTTAGTACTTTTACATGTGAGAGCAGAAGGCCGTCTCAGATCAATTTGGCTATACAAGTCTTTAAAAAAAAACGTACCGCTATCATGTGCTTAGAACAAGTGTTCAACGGTCTAGAGTACGATGTACTCTTACTATATGAGAGTGAAATGAGCGGTCCCAGTTTCAAGAACATGAATAGCTTGAACGTATGTGTTAAAAAAAGATCAAAGCATATTCCCGGAGTGCATGATGATGAGTGGAGCGAAGCATTCGTAAGTAAGTCCGTCCTTCCATGTGTATGTCGTGTGTCCATCCGTGCGTTCGTCCCTGCATTCGTCCGTGCGTCCGTCCGTCCACCCGCCCGACCATCCATCCGCCCGTGCATCCGTGCGCGTCCTTGCTGTGCGTCCATCCATCCGTCCGTGCATCTAGCGAACACTCCAAGTATACTGCCACCTCGCCTCTTTGCATCTTATATTCATCATATAGAAGTATCGCCATGAAGCGGAATTTCCAGGGGCTAAACGAGAGGTGGCACGGCCGGACAAAAGGAACGGCACGTGCCCACGTCTTTACGGCCTGCGCTTCGTGTCTGGTTTCTACCTTTCACCGCCGCTAGTTCATGGCTATATACTATAGTTGACTACATTTATGGCACTGCGGCCCAACCCTCGCTAAACCTTGCTGAAACCAAGGAGGTTATGCCGAGCGAGTTTAATGTGCACGCCCCGCCACGGTGGGCTAGTGACTAAGGTACTTGGCTGCTGACACGCAGGTTGCGGGATCGAATCCCGGCTGCGGCGGCTGCATTTTCGATGGAGGCGAAAATGCTGAGGCTCCGTGTGCTCAGGTTTGGGTGCACGTTAAAGAACCCCAGGTGGTGAAAATTTCCGGAGCTCTCCACTACAACGTCCCTCATAATCTTGTGGTGGTTTTGGGACGTTAAACCCCACAAATCAATCAGTTTAATGTGCACGGCAACCTTTTATGCTCAGATATTGGCCGCGAGGGCCTCCACTAGAGAGGCCAGCGCTGCGATCGTTTTGACGTCACAGATAGGATGCGTGCGCTCGCCTTGCTTGCATCGTCCCCCATGGCTGCACTTGCGTCATCCTCCATGGCTGCACCGGTTCTTGGTCGCAATTTTACGATGCAAATTAGACACGAGAGTGCCACCGGGGGCATCGATTAGTAGTTTGCTGGCCCGTATTATCAGGTCTTATCGCTTGTTTAACCTCCTCGGTCTCAGGGTACCCAATTGGGTACCATTGTTTTAAAGGCTACAGATCACCACAATTCGATATCCACGTGTCCAAATTTGTCTTGCCACAATAAGCATGCATTGCTTTTGCCAAGCCCCAAGAAGTAACGCTGTGTGTCCAGTCCTATTTGGAAAACAGTGAACGAAAATAGCAGAGCATTGCACAAACGCTTGGCGGCGCCCTCCTCATAAGTGAAAGCCTCTTTTTCTTTAGTTATAGTGTGAAGAACGTCTATTGTACATTCCTTTAAATATGGTTGCCCTGAAGATCGTATTGAAAGCCATTTCTGTCTGATACTTTTGTCGCACGCAATCATAGAGACTTCAAAAGTTCAGGAATACCCAAATGGGCGCCATCACATTTTGCGACAACTGTTCAACTTTTTTGAGTTCATAATTTTTCTACGTTTGTTTTCAACGACAGGAAGCTAGATAATGCAGTTTCGCAAAAGCTCTTTCGATTAGTGCAGTCTTGGGACTGAGGAGGTTAAGCACTGAGCTTCAAAACAAAGGGAAGCACGCACGATGTCCACAGCGAAAGCGCAGGAAATGCGGTGTTCTATCAGACAAGAAAACCCAGTATCCTATGAGTGACGTCATCACGTATGTGGCGCCACGGTATGTCCTCGAGGCATATAGTGCTGAAAGCTTGTCCTATACTGTTGCTATTTTTTTAGTAAGCTTCAAATTCGAGGCGAATTTCATTGTAGATTAAGTCACCGATACTCGTCTCTGTAGGTTATTTCATTAGAAACAATTTTATTTTTATTTATAGTTAACCTCCGCGGGTTTCCTCCTCAATTCAATTCTAAAAAGTGCGAGTGTGCTGCTCCTCTAGTCCAGCCGTGGACGTGGCTATACCTATTACTACGACGATGACGACTACTGCTGCTGCTGATACTACTACTACTACTACTACTACTACTACTACTACTACTACTACATACATCGTGGACACACGACCCACGCCATAAAGAGCTTCGCCCCTAACAGTTGTTAATGATTTAGAGTACTTAGTACTATACTATGGGGCTGGGAAGCAGAAAGCCCTCCGTCCCGTGGGCCTCACATTCCATGAGGTCGTCATAATTAAACTTAATAAGCCGTGTCTACAAAAAATGACGCTTAAGTACGACACAGTGGTGATGTGTGTTTAAAAAAGTGGTGAACAATTTTGAGTACTTGGTACTCTACTATGGGAGAGCACAAAGCCGTCTCAGATGAAAAAAAATGCTCTCGGAATGGTGTGTGTTTAGAAAAAGTGGGTAACGATTTAGAGTACTAGTAGTTACTCTACTATGGGACAGCTTAAAACCGTCCTGTGGCTACGCATAAGGCATTTGAGAAGAATGTTTAAGATAATTTTATTTCTGAAAAAAATCATACATGCACAGAAGACATTTATGTGTTACATTTTTCGTTCTCAAGACATTGCTAATATATCTTAATATACATTCAAATGCACAACAGGAATTCTTTGTAGCTGTAAAAAGAAATTCTAACTTGCATAAAGAAAACTATGCTGAGGGGTACGTACAATTCATCAAAAGGAACAAAAACATTTTAAAAATGCGTATAAGAATAAATAAATACTTATACAATACTAAATGCAGGTTCAGTGAAATCGCAAACACTAGCCTACCTTCTCAGTAATGGAGGCAAGACATGGACACTTTATTAGATGCGAAGCATCTTATACTCGCGCCTTGTAGTGCGCCGTCCGCACCGCTTCTCGAACATTCGACAGCTGACGCGCGCGCATGCGCCGTCGCGCCGTCGCCCACTCTTCCACCATCTGTGCATCCCTTCCTCCTCTACACACCGCGCGCGCTTCACTCCTCCACCATCTGTGCACCCTTCCTCCTCTACACACCGCGTTCGACATCTACAATTCTCCTGATTCTCCAGTGGACGCGCATGTGGCGTCGCGCTTCGAGAACATTCAACAGCTGACAGTGCATGCGCCGTCGCGCTGTATATATACTCAAGGTCGGCGCTCGCTCGCTCAGTTGCCGCTCGTCGGTTGGTTTGTACGGCGCGTCGACGTCCAAGGTCGCGGTGAAATGAATTCCAGCGAATCCACAAACACAATGATCGACGTCCCTTCGACCAGCGCCGCCCTTTCGCATACGTGTGTACGTGTTCACTCATTTAACACCCCCTCCTACAACCACGTTAACCAATTTAGCCATCGACCCAAGTAAGTCGCAATTTAACACCCCATTTCACAACCACGTTAACCAATTTAGCCGTCGACCCAAGTAAGTCGCACTTTAACACCCCGTTAACCAATTATATGCTCCGCATCCTCCTCAGTGTTCCCCCGAGGGAAGCTGC